CTTCCTTCCTTCCTTCCTTCCTTCCTTCCTTCCTCCCTTCCTTTCTCTTCCGGATTTCTCTGGGTAGCCCTGGCTGTCCTGGAACTCACTCTGTAGACCAAGCTGGCCTCAAACTCAGATTCCCCTGTCTCTGCCTTCTGAGTGCTGGAATTAAAGGTATGCACCACCACCACCACCACCACCACCACCACCACCACCACCGATCAGGATATGGTAGTTTTATCTTATATTTTATTTTATCCCCTAGAAGCTTGTTTGCTTTCTAATGAGAAACCGAAAGGAAGTGGACCCAGACTGGAGAGGATACAAATGGGAACTGGGAGGAGTAGTGCACTGGAGGGGAACCATAATGAGGATTTATTGAGTGAGGGGGAAAAATCTATTTTCAATAAAAGGGAAACACTAGAAAATTCTTCAAAATAGCATGACCTCCTTGTCACACTGAAGACATGTGGCAGTTTTCTAATGTAGTCTCCTATCCAGTCTACATCAGTTCCCATCCTCATCACTAGGGCAAAGCACCTGATGAAGCAACATATAGGAAGAAGGATTTCCCTAGGCTCACAGTCCCAGTGTGCAGCTCCTCGTGGTGGGACCATTATGGTGGCAGCCAGTCACTGTGTCCACAGTCAGGAAGTAAACGGGGATAGATGCCTGTGTTATGTCTCTTTTCTATTCAGTCCAGGACCTTGTCAACCAAGAGACTCCCTTACAGGTGTGGCTAGATGTTTGTTTTCATGGTGATTTTTTTTTAAAGATTTATTTATTTATTATGTGTACAGTGTTCAGCCTGCATGAATGTCTGCAGGCCAGTAGAGGGCACAAAATCTCATTACAGATGCTTGTGAGCCACCATGTGGTTGCTGGGAATTGAACTCAAGACCTTTGGAAGAACTGGCAGTGCTCTTAACCACTGAGCCATCTCTCCAGCCCCTCATGTGATTTTAAATCCCATCAGATAAACAATTAAGATGGACTATCACAACAGTCAGTATCCAAGTTTCCTTAGAAAATTGCCTAAAATAATTTTTTCAAGGTTTTTTATTTAATTATTTACTTTTTATGTGTACAGTGTTCTGCCTGCAAGTCTGCTTACAGGCCAGAAGGCACCAGATCTCATTGTAGATGGTTGTGAGCCACCATGTGGGTGCTGGGAATTGAACTCAGGACCTCTGGAAGAGCAACCAGTGCTCTTAACCTCTGAGCCATCTCTCTAGCTCCCTGACTAAAATAATTTTATAGGCATTTGTTTTCCTCTTTCCTTTCACATAAAGGATAAAATAAACTAGGATCCAACTTAAAAGAAAGAATGTTGGTCACAGTGCCATGCACCTCTAACTCCAGTGTTGGGTGGGGCAGAGGACAGGAGGGTCCCTGAGGCGTGCTTGCCGGTAGCCCAACTTCAGGCTCCGTGGGACCATGTTGTGGGAATAAAACAAACAGTGATAAAGGGTTCTCACATCCTCTTCTGGCCCCTGCAAACACAAGCACACATACATACGCTTTGTACCCCACAAACACAATACAATTTTTTAAATTAAAAAACAATTTTAAGAAGAATTCAAAGCCAGCCTGGGCTAGTTAGCAAGAACCTTCATCCAGACTAAAAGGAGGTGGGGATGTGGGTGTGGGGTGCACCCACTCATCCTGTCTGAATTCCTAGGTTCTAGCCCAAAGAAACCAAGAAGACAGGGAGGAAGGAAGGAAGGAAGGGCTGGAGAGATGGCCCAGTGATTTTTTTTTTTTTTTTTTTGAGACAGGGTCGCACTGTGTAGCCCTGGCTGTTCTGGAACTCACTCTGTAGACCAGGCCACCCTCTAACTCAGAGAGATCCTCCTGCCTCTGCCTCCTGAGTGTGCTGGGATTAAAGCTGCTGCCTGGCCTGGTATCTCAGTGATTAAGAACACATTGACTGCTCTTGTACAGGACCTGGGTTTGATTCCCAGCAACTACATGGAGGTTCATAACTGTCTGTAATTCCAGTTCCAGGGGATCTGACGCCTTCTTCTGGCCTCTGTGGGCACTGCAAGCACATGGTACAAGACACATATGTAGGCAAAGCAACCATCCCATTACATATAAAAATACTTTTTTTTGATTTTTTTGATTTTTTTTGAGACAGGGTTTCTCTGTGTAGCCCTGGATGTCCTGGAACTCACTTTGTAAATTAGGCTGGCCTTGAACTCACAGAAATCAGACTTTGTCTGTTTCCCAGGTGCTGGGATTAAAGGTGTGCACTACTACCACTTGGCAAATTTATTTATTTTTTTAAGAAAGAATAAGGGACAACCCTCCAACTACTTTCTGAGCAGGCCTTAGTAAACAGGGGACAAACTGTCTTTTAAAAAGACATCTTGCGGGCAGTGGTGGTGCACGCCTTTAATCCCAGCACTCAGGAGACAGAGGCAGGCAGATCTCTGTGAGTTCGAGGCCAGCCTGGTCTACAAGAACTAGTTCCAGGACAGCCTCCAAAGCCACAGAGAAACCCTGTCTCGAAAAACCAAAAATAAATAAATAAATAAATAAATAAATAAGACATCTGGCTGGGTGGTGGTGGCACACACCTTCAATCCCAGCACTCGGGCGGCAGAGGCAGGAGGATCTCTAAATTCAAGGTAAGATTGGTATACAACACAAGTTCCAGGACAGCCAGGACTGTTACACAGTCTCAATCCTGTGCCTCAGAAATCCCTGCCTCAAAAAAATGATATCAGGATTTATTTATTTTTATTTCATGCATATTTCATGCATCTGTGCATGAGGGAGCCAGAAGAGGGCGTCGGATTCTTTAGAACCCAAGTTATGGATGATTCTCTCTCTCTCTCTCTCTCTCTCTCTCTCTCTCTCTCTCTCTCTCTCTCTCTCTCTCTTTGTGTGGGGGGGGCACACACACATCACACACATCAGGATAGTCTCGGAGTTAGCAACTCCTTTCTAGAAAGGACCCCCCCCCCAAAAAAAATTGTATTTTCAACTGTTCAGTAGATTGAAATGTCTTAACCCTGACATGACAACGAAGGGCAGCTACAGATGTGGTTCAAACAAATAGTCAGGGGCCACACACCAATAAAACTTTATTTAAAGACACAGTGAGGAGCCATGTTTGTTTGTTGAGGAGGTGGGCACAGAGCCTGGGCTCCTGGCGTGCTGTGTTTGGATGGTATCTGGTCTATCAGTGCTCAGCGGCCCCTAGACTTGGCAGGCATGGGAGCCAGGCTGGGGCTGGGCTTTATGGTGCCTTTCCCTGTTTGAGCAGCTCACCCAGTTCGCAGCCAGTTCTGAGTCAAACAATGATGCCTGCCAGGACCCACCAACATCCTGTTTGACCTCTGACCTCCCTGCTGGTTTGTGCCACCTCAATTAGATGTTAGTTTCCTTCGCTATTTGAGCTGGGACGTTCCCAGAGGCCCCAGGTGACACCAGCAGAGAAACCCCACTGTAAGCGCGGTCCCTCCGACCTCGGTGGCTGGGGACCTGGGAACCGGGAGAGTGGCCAGAGTGTGCCGGGCTGGTGCTGAACCAAGTCCTCCCGTGTCCCTCGCTTGTCTTTAGAGAGGCAGGGCCACAGTGAGACCCACCTTAACAACAACATCAGATGAGCTTGGAGGACATCCTGTGAGGTGAAATAGGTCGGAGGAAAATACTGTAGGCTCTTCGGACGCCTCTAGAGCCCGCAAACATGGAAAGTAGAAAGTCTGTAGAGGCAGCAGGGCGGGGCACCCGGGAGTCCAACCCACACTTTAAAGGGAAGAGAGAGTTCTGGAAACCGAGATGGTGAGGACTGGACATGAGTGTGCTTAGTGAGTGGTCCTACCCATGCGACCAGCCTGCTTTACACAGAGTTCCAGGCTACCCAGGGCTACACTGCGAGGCACAGTCTAAAATAAAAATCACGCTGTTATCCCAGCACTTCGAAGGCAGAGGCAGGTGGATCTCTGAGTTCGACGCCAGTCTGGTCTACTGAGCGAGTGCCAGGACAGCCAAGACTACACAGAGAAACCACCAAAAACCAACAACAAATCAAATCAGTTTGTCACTGTGCTTCACAGTATGAACTTATATCTTTCGGTTTGTGTATGATGGTATAGATGGAGCCCAGGGTCTTGTGCATGACAGAGCCACGCCCCCAGCCCCTCCCTGGGGGATCCTAGGCAGGGGCTCCACCCTTAAGTTATTCCCCCAGTGTTATTAAACAGAGTCTTTTTAAAAATGATATAAAGAACCCTGTTCTCAATATTAGACAATAGAAGCTACCAAGCCTGAATCCTTCTGCTAAAATTAACCTGAACTTAAGACTCCCTCGGTGTCAGAGTTCTGGCACCTATTTGTGGACACCACGGCAGCTGGTCCTGGCAATGATCCCTGACCACAGGCCAGCCAGTGACTATCACGCCTCCTTCCCAAAATAGTCTGGGAGGCTCTTTATTTCCATCCTTTCAGTCCCGTCAGAATATGAGCTCCCCATGCCTTTGGCTGGAGGGCAGGAAGGCCGATCCCCTGAAATCTCCCCAGCTGCTCTAGCCCAGCCAAGGCCAGAGCCGCTGTGGTTTATATAGTTTCTGCAGTCCTGACACCGTCTACTGTCAAGGGCTGAGGACCCCTCCTGCCTCTGCATTTCAGCTATGAAAAGCTATGATGAACACGGGACCACCAGGGTCACCAGGACTACTTTGGGCACATTCCTGGAAGTGGGAGTGCTACCTGGCGATGCTAGCTCCCCTCCCCCAACTCCTCTCCTCCTCTTCCCTTTACTCTCTGCCCCTTTGCTTCCTGTTCATTTCCTTTTTGGTATTACTCTGGTAGCTCAGGCTGGCTTGGAACTGGTGGTCGGTCCTCCTGCCTCTGCTTCCTGTATGCTGGGATGACAGGTGTTAACCTTCCCACTGCCTTTGAGATGCTGGTGTGCTTGACCCTATATGCGAGGCTTCAGATGAACCCAGCACCTCTAAGAACAGACCCCACTGCACCCCTACATTTTGAGGTTGAAGAAAGCAAAAGGGCTTGGTTTACTTGCACCACATTTATTGGCTGATCACTCACACTGAGCTTTGTCTGACAGTGGAGATGAAACCCAGGAGCTTCCAGTCTCAGGTCCTTCCGAACTCCAGACAATGCCATGAAAAGGCACTTTCTCAGCAAACGGGCATCAATGGGCATTCACAGAGGCCTGAGCCCAGCCGTGCCTCACACTCACCCCTCTCATATCCTGGCGACTTTGGCTGCCACAGCCCTTGCCCTGTGCAAGGCCTACTCATCCCCAGCAGCAGCACAACACTACACGGAGCAGTTGTGGATCCATGTGTTTGTTGAATGACTGAATGAATGATGCTTATCCAGCATGAGGGACATCCGATGTGACACTCTGCACTGCATGCAGGTGGCTACACTTCTTTTGTCTGTGGGCAGATGGAACTCAAGCTCCACTTCCTAACCATTAGCCCTGGATGTGTCTGCTTGGCTGAGTAACTGCTGAGACCTTCTGGGCCCAAACACAAACGGCCCTAATGAACAAAGCATCCATACAAAGCACCTGCCACCACCCTCATCCAGGTCCCAGCTCCCTGGCCATAGCATGCTGCTGAGGAAACTTTTGGCATTATCTACCCTCTGTACACAGGAGGACCTGGGGTCTCCATGCTACTGAGAGGAAGCAGGAGGCACAGAGAATGAAGCCATTTGCCCCAAGATGCCCAGAAGGACTGGAAAGGCAGGAAAGGATGTGGGAACCCCGGTACCTGGCTCTCGGGAGGAACTTGGGTAACTGAGTCTCCAAGTGGCTTTAAATTGTTTTGGTTACAAGATATAATTTGAAAGAACAAAGAAAGAAAACCAAGAGTCTACTGGCCAGGGCTTCTGCTGAGGACTGGGTGACCCCGAAGGCTGTGATGTCATGAGACGTCTCGCAGAAAGCAGGGCTTCTCACTCCTGCATATCTCAGCCCCATGTCGGCCCTGGGAGTGGCTAATGGTTCCATATTGCAGATGGGGAAGTTGAGGCCACAGAGAACTCTGAGCCCTGTGTGCCCCTAAATTGTGAGGTTCCGAGTCTACACCCTTCTCCCCAGAACCCCATGGATGCCTGGGGCTGCCCCCTAATCCGCCTTCTTGGTCTTCTTCTTCCTGGAGCCTTCGGTCAGCTCCTCCCTGGCCTTGGCGGGCAGGCCTGAGTGCGTGGTGCCTAGCCCGCTGCCATGTGGTGCTCCATGGTTGTCATGGTGATGATCACCTCCCCAAGCTGTCCCAAACAGCACCGGGCAGATGTAACCCTCCAGAACATCAAATGGAGAACTGTGAGAGTGAGTGGCCGTCAGGAACACCTGAAGGGGAGCCCAGGAACACACGGAGGGTGAGAGAGCAGAGAAGTAGTGACAAGGGGAGTGGGCTAGCCCCAGCCCTCTAGCTTCCCACACATCCAAGTTCATGAGCCCCTATCCTGGAGTCTGGCGAGACCCGACTTGCAGTGTCCAGGCCTGGACAGTCCAGGGATGCCATGACCGTGGCCACCCACACCAACAGGACCCCCCAACACCTGCACTGGGTGCTACATTTGTTGTTGTTGAGTCAGGGAACCATGGAGCCCAGGCTAGCCTCCTACTCACTATAGAGCCAAGTGTGACCTCCATTGTGTGGGAACATGGAAGGTGTCAATCATCTGAACCTGGGAAGAGTCCCTCACAGCACCGCACCCCCACGGCCACCACACCCCACCTCCACTGTCTTGGACTTCACACTCCAAAGCTCTGAGCAATAACTTCCTCCTCTCTCCCTCCCTTCTCATCACCACACTCTTCCCTGTTTTCTCTTCCACCCTCTCTCCCCCCTTGTTTGTTTTTGTTTGCTTGCTTGCTTTTAACTTGTGTTGTATTTTAAGACAGGGTCTTATGTAGCCCAGACTGGCCCCAAATTTGCTGTGTAGTTGAGATGACCTTGAACTCCTGACTCAGGGACCACTTCCCTGACACAGGACCCAGGGGGATGTGTTTTGGTTTGTTGAGATAGAATGTCACTATGTAACCCTTGTTGGTCTGAACTCACTAGGTAGCCCAGGATGGCCTCAAACTCATGTTGATCCTCCTGCTTCAGCCTCAATAGAATGGCTCACTGACTTTCCAAGGCTATGGTCCTCTCTAGGGATGGACCGTCCCTAGGCAGGGTCTTCCATGCTTGGGAAGCTAGGGGCAACATCTCCAGTCCTGCGGAAGGGCAGGGAAGGCCCAAGCCCCTTCTGGGTGGTTTGATCAGTTACACGGGACTCTACTAGTTAAACTCACAGTGGTTTCCAGCTTCCTGTCCCCATGGTCTCCCATACGGGGCACCAGTACCCCCAGTCTACACCCTCAAGGCCAATTCTCGTCATTCCCATCCCCATCTCCTCGTCACTCAGCCTCCCAATGGGTTTCTCCTGTCTATCTCATGTGGGCCATGCACCCCAGGATTCTGCACCCCATCCCAGGGAAATGAAGGTTGCAGGCTTACCTTACATGACACCATGAACATGGTGAAAACGAAGATGAGGCTGGCCTTGGACACAGGGAGCCAGCGGGTCTGCTGCAGGGTGAACAGGATGGCTCCGTACAGGCTGGCCTTGGTGGGGCTGGGGATGTAAGACATGGGTCACTGTGCATTGTTAGTCCAGGTTCATCAGAATCTCACCAGATGGCAGATGGCCAGGAGGCACTGTACCTGTCTTCCCCGGCTGGTGGCTGCTTGCTGGGGGGCATTTTTAGTTTATGTTAGGTTGGGAAGTTACAGTCTGAGTTCATATAGGAAAACAGCTGGGGGTCTCAAGCCCATGGAAGACGGATAATTTGAGGTGGAGGCTATGCTAGGGTGAAGAACTCAACCAGTGAGGAATTTGCAGGGTGGTGACATATAGTCAGGGGGAAAAAAAAGTCTGTGACCAAATCAGGGTGCCAGCCTTTTTAGCCTTTCCTCTATGCTGACCCCTGACTTCCCACGGCTGAAAAATAAAAGGCTTCTCTCTCCTGAGTCTCCAGGACTCTTATTATGAAGTAACAGCCACTGTTTCTGACAGAAAGATCTGTATTGTTAACTGGAGCTGAGTTACTAACCCTCCTCCTCATCACCCTCTGCCTGCTCCCACCACAGTGTCTCTGCCTGTCTCTCTCACCCATGTAAGCAACTTGGGAGAGTTGGTCTCTCCCTCCAGCATGCAGGGCCTGGGGACTGAACTCACATCATCACATTGGCAGCTCCTTTACCCACTGAGCTATCTCGCAGGCCCTGCACCTCATTTTTGAGGCAAAGTCTCTCACTCACTCAATCTGAAGTCTACCAATTTTGCTAAGTGGGATGGCAATGAGCCCAAGGAAATCCTGTCTCTGCTTTCCCAGTGTGGTTTGAATGAAAATGTCCCCATTCTGGTCCGCAGGTGGGGAGGTTGAGGAACAGTGACCTTGATGGAGGAAGTGCTGGGGCAGACTTTGGGAACTAAGGGACTTGCTGTATTCCCTATCTTGTTTATGGTTCAAGATGTGAGCCCTGAGCTCCCTGCTCCTGCCACCACACCACACCTGCTGCTTGCTACCAGGTCTCCCACCATGACAGATTCAGCTGACACCTAAGCTCAAATGAAGAGCTTGGCCATGATGTTTTGTGCTGGCAACTATAGAATAGTGAGACACCAGCACCGGGGTGACCGGTGTGCTGCTGCACCTGGCATCTGACACCAGCACCGGGTTGACAGGTGTTCTTGAGTAAGTCTCTCACCCTTGAATTGCTTCTGACAGTCAGGTTTGGGGTCACAGCAACATGAAAAGACACCTAGGTGCCACTAAGCCCTTAAACACATGGCTGCCAGTCACCTCACATAGTCATGTGGGGAGAGGCGACGCCTGCAGGCTTCCCTCCCCAGCATGGAGGGCTCTGTGGTTAAAGCACTTGCCCAGAGCCAGCTGGGTAGCGAGCCTGGGCATATCAGGGACTTGGGGTTTGATAGAGAGACCCTGACTCAAAGAATATGGCGGGAAAGCAATTGAGGACGCTCCCAGCATAATCCCAGGTCTGCACACCTACACGCACACACATACACATGTGCCCACACACATTCACACCACACAGACACACAGGAAAGTGGAGAAAAGAACAAACACATGAAGGAGAAAAGGGATATACCAGGCCCAATGCAATGGTCCTTAAGGGTCACATGTCTTATGTGGCTCCGCCCACCATTCCCTCCACACTACTGTCCGTCTGTCTGTCGGCCTGCAGTTCACACCCTGCACCATTTCCTTGCTTGCCACTCACATTCTGCTCCCCCCCCCCCCCCCCCCCCCACCTTTTCTACCCCCCCATCCTGTGTGGTTT